GGAGATTGGCGTGCTCTGCCCGGCAGCGTGGGTATAAATACGGAAGTGGATGCAATGCACAATTGCTTTTCACTGAGGAGCTGAGCCAGTGACCTGGTCAGCCAGCGGGGTACAGCAATTGTGGTGACGGGACGGGACGTAACGTCTCCGTTCCTTAGTTCAGGGAACGAGGATTACATACGTAACCGAGATGTTCCCTTTCAATCGGTCACGTTTGACATTACGTCGACGTCACCGACGTTTTGGGATCTCTAACAAAGCACCACTATTACTGCCCCTTCAAGTGCCTTGCATAAGCCTAGTAATCCCCCCGCAACACTTGGAGCAGAAGATGGGAGAGGGCTTACACAGAGAGTGTCGATCACTGCTGTTTCACATGACCCACCCAGTGAGACTATTGGATAACAGTGGGAAAGCATGCCTTTCCAGACCTTTTTGGAAAGAACGCTACGGAGGCCACATCCTGCCCGTAGGGAAGTATCATGTGGAATAACACATATGGACTGGCCAATTAGGGCAGTGCAACCTGTGGAATGACATGAAATTGCCTAGTTAGGAGGGATTCTACACCGGCAGGGACGGCAGAGCGGACTCTGCCAGGGGAAAGACACAGGCTCACGATAGAGAGCCGTATCGTGGAAAATACACACATGGGATCACCATAGGGATCACAACATACGGGCACCCAGCCTAGCACAGGTTTCACCAATGCATACGAGTATTAGGCCTGGCGTCGGGCGGGTGTCTGACCGCCAAGCGAGGGAACTCTACTGGAACAACTAAGCGCGCGTATCTGGTCCAGAGAAGGGGAATGGCGCAGCAAGCCTACACTGAATTGGGTCTCCGGTGTTTGCTGGCTATGGGAAGCAAATACAGGGGAGGATACCAGTTCTACATAAAGGCTGTATAATCTAGCAAACGTTGGTACTCCAAGGCATGGAAACAACACTGTGTTGTTAACAAGTAAGAGATACCAAGAGGGTACAGGATGAGCCTGGAGGATTTAACCTTTTCGCACCTCTGAGGAACCTGGTGACCAGAGATTTACCATCAACTGCATCTCTATGCAGCAATAGCGGCAACATACACTTTCAGGGTGGGGGGAGGCAGCCTTCACTCCAACCTGTCTTGCAGGAAGGAAAGCACAACTCTGATTGGGAATCTCAGAGGGGTCTTCCCGGTGAGAAGAACACAACTCGACGAACAGGTTCCACTTCAACGAATAGAGGCGCCACGTAGAGGACGCTCTTACGGAAGTGATGTTATCTACCACCGCTTGGGGTAGATAACCTAAGTCATTCGCGTCCCGTCCAAAGACCAGACGTGGAAATTCCAGAGATCTGGACGCGGGTGCCATAGGGTTCCCCGTCCCTGAGAAAGCAGGTTTTCAATTGCACTCTCTTGGGACCCAAAGACAGAGGAAACTGCTGCTTTATTGAAAACAGGATAGAAACTGACCTTAAGATTCTCCACCTGGCCTTCCTCCGGGGAGGGAGTGGTCACTATCTCCCCAAGAGCTGTTTCCTCCATCTTTTGGTCGCCCGTCTCAGGGCCGCTTGCCCTTGCGCTTGCCGCTCAGATTGGCGGGGGGCTTGACGGGCTGGGTGGCCTGCCGGCTTCCGACTCCATGCTTTGGCCTGGGTGAAGGCTGCTGCTTAGGCTGAGCGGGAGAGGAGGCGGACGTAGGGGGGCGCCATCGTGACGAGCAGTTGGAGGCGCTGCAGCTGACGGCAGAGTGGAAGCAGCTGGCCATTAGGCAGGATGTTTTTGATCGCCTCCATCTGCTTCTGTGCAGAGGAGAACTGTTGTTAAAAGTTATAAAAGTAAAAGTTATAAAAGTTGTATAAAAGTACTTTAGCTCCAAAAGGGTTGAATGAAGACTTTGACCTGAGGCCATTCCTGTAAATAACTTATCTCATTGAGAAAACAAATGTTGTAAGTGTTGTGCGATCGTTTTGCTGACTTAATATATGACATATGTAACACACCATTGTGGTATCCTTTGTATATTTACAGTTCTTGCTCATCTACTATTAGTGTTTACAGTGGTAGAGATACTTTTCCAATAAAACTTTTTAGGCTGTGCTTTAAGCACTGCAGGTCTTTTTTAGCTATCTAATATATTTCTAATAAATGTTTCTGTATTATAAATGTTGGTATATACTTCTTACATATTTTTATCTGCTTTTCTGATGTAATTGCTTTTTCACTTGATTGGTCCTATCATGGATGTATGTGATCATGTGACCATGCATGGCTGTATATAAGGAGGTGTGTCTCCCCACTTGTTTATGTCTGATGAAGGGCTTGGCCCCGAAACGTTACACGTGGTGAGCAATTATTAAATTCACTTAGGAGCATTTTCTGGTGTGCGGACTCATTGTTTATTTTTTGCAACTGTTGTTAAAAGTTACCAGTGCTCACTTCCTGCAATAGCTCTGGGTCAGCACTACCCTCGTGCAACTTCTTTAGTGCCTTGGCCTGGTAGACCTGCAGGAGAGCCCTGGCGTGCAGGACTTAGGCAGCCTATCCAGCGGCTTTGTAAGAACTTATAAGCCCCTGGATTGATAATGCGAAATACCTCTCCAGGAAGCACTTTTAGGACACAACTGCATCGCTTCAGCGCACTCCACTGGTGGAATACCCATGTACCCTTTGCCGGTTTTGGGCAGAGAATGGTGTCATCCACGATCTGGTAACCTCACCATGCACCTCCAGGGAGAATGGCACCAGGGCAGGGTGCTGAGAACAAGCATGGGCTGCCCCAAGAAACCAGTCATCCAACCTTGAGGGTTCGGGTCACGGCGGAGACCTCCACTTGAGCCCGACACTCTCTGCAGCCCGGGAAAGCATAGGCGTCAGCTCTGGGTCAGGCTCGGGCAATGCTTCCCTCCCTGAAGGATGCAACCAGTGTTGTGCTAGTTACTAAGAAATAGTAACTAGTTACAGTTACTAGTTACTTCATTCAAAAAGTAACTCAATTACTTTGTTGATTACTTACACCAAAAAGTAATGCGTTACTGTTAAAAGTAACTTTTTAGTTACTTTTTTAAAGAAAGTTCTTAAATGTTCCCATTAATGCCCTTTTATGCGTTATGGTCTATACAAACACAAAACTAACTTAAACAGAAAGTAATTTTTAAACACTATTTTATTTAAGTCAGACCAGCACAAACTGAATATATCAAGGATTTCTGAAATAAATAATAAAACAAGCATTTTTAAAGCTAGTGACTTGTTTGCTTTCTCAACATTGATATGTTCATGCAGCTGACAGTATACGTTTTTACCACTGTGGTTTTTACTGCATGAATTAATATTTGATTTTGAGCAATACAATTGTACCTTGATCATTCTTGTTAATTCATAGTAGGCCTACATTAACTAAGGAGATACAAATACATCTAACAATGAATGATACTTCTACAACATTTATTAACCATATTTAATGCTAAAATTGTAATCTTATTGTAAAGTGACATTTATATGATTCAAGCTTAAAGAAGATGGCCATATTTAAATATCTGCAAAGGCCAGAGCATTAAAATTACATAAATGTAGACCTATATTACAGTCTTTCACTTTATTTGCTTAAATTTTAGAACACTTGATTAGACTTGATGTCGGCTGCATGAACATATCAATGTAAGCAATCAATCACGTCACTAGTTTTTAAAATACAACTTCGCCGGCTAATGAATGCATAAAAGTGACCAGCTGGATATAAACTAATGCAAATAGATGGTAACAATTGCGACATTAAAAACATGTGGGTCAGGTCTGCGTGGGTTTTTGTCACATTGCTTTAATCGCTTGAGGTAAGTTAGCCGTTACTAATGTTATTCCTCTCAGACTCGACGGCAAGCTTCTGTTCTTTCTCTGCTGAATGTGCTGATGCAGCTCTAGTCAAAAAATTAATTACTTTACAATGATATGGCAATGTGTACTTAAGTGTTCTGTATTCATACCGTTTCGCTGTCTGTGTTTTAAATGCGCATCAAGTGCTCAGCGCTCTCCGTGCAGATTGTAATCTCCGTGCTTGCGCTGCCTCACGTGTACGTAAACAACTCAGCCAGTGAGTTTGTTATGTGTCCTCAGGTGTCCTCTCGCTCTGTATAATGCTAGCAGTCTCTTCAGTGCTCTCGTACTGTGTAATGACAGCGCACACTTCTCAGCCGCTCCAGCAACTAATTAATTTAAAAAAGTAACGGACTAACGCGCCATATGGTAACGGTAACGGAGTTAATTTATTTAAAAAGTAATGCGTTACAGTATTAGTTACTGTCAAAAGTAACTGCGTTACTGTAACGCGTTACTAGTAACGCGTTACTGCCCAACACTGGATGCAACACAGCCAAGTCTTCATCCCCAGAGGACATAAGCTCACCCTCTGATGCAGAAATCAACATCCGGTCATCGGGCCAGAATGAAACGACCGGCCACCCAGTTAGAAGGACCAGTGCACTCATCCGGAAGCTCCACAGGTTGCAGTGTGTCAGGAGAGAGGTGCCCACAAAAATGTTCTCGGCGGGGAAGCCCCCACTGTGATCCTCAAGTCACCCTGGCTATTTGCCGAAGTAGCCCTATTATGAGCTGGCCCAGAAGAGAAATTAGAACGTCTAAATAGGTGAGGGGACCCCACCTCTCTTGAGGTATTGGAGTCTCAACCGTAACATCAAGATGTTCACGTTCACAGTCAAATGTGTGTTGCATTTGATTCCATATTTATACCTGCGGGGCGGAGATACAAATCTTGCACGCCAATCTCCATTGGCTCGTTTAGTTTACACTCGAAGGTGATCGAGTACCAATACGTCAGTGACGTCGACGTAATGTTGAACGTGACTGACTGAAAGGGAACACCTCTTGTCAGTAGCTTTGTCTGAATATGATTTAGCATGTTGTTGGTATTTATGCTTTAAATGTCTAAATGTTTTGATGTCTGTTGCTGTGGGTCATTACACTGAGGATAACTTGTCTTTGTCTCTTTTTTGCCTTAGACCTGATGCCGCTAAAAGAGGAGAGTGAAGTACTGAATGAAATTGAAGATAAAGTTCAAATTGAGAAACATGATTTCACAAGTGGAGAAAAATCTTTTAGTTTCTCAAAGACTGTAAAGAATTCCTCACAAAACAGAGCTCAGAAGAAAACAACTAAAAGTTATTTCTCCTGCTTTGACTGTGGGAAGAGTTTCAGTCAACACGGTGACCTTAAAGTCCACATGGGAGTTCACAATGGAGAGCGGCCTTTCACCTGCCAACAATGTGGAAAAGGTTTCACTGAAAAAGGAAGTCTGAAAAGGCACATGAGAATACACACCGGAGAGAAGCCTTACACCTGCCAGCTGTGTGGAAGAAGTTTCACTCAAAAAGGATCTCTTAACAGGCACATGATAATTCACTCTAAAGAGAAGCCTTACACCTGCAAACTGTGTGGAAATGGCTTTAAAGCAGAACTAAACCTTAGGTATCACATGAGAATTCATACTGGAGAGAAGCCTTACACATGTGATCAGTGTGGAAAGAGTTTCAGATGTAAAATAACCCTTAATTGCCACATGAGAGTACACTCAAGAGAGGGCCGTTTTATATGTCAGCAGTGTAGAATGAGTTTCCCAGATAAGCAATGCCTTAACAGGCACATCAAAACAATTCATGCCGGAGAGAAGCCTTTCAAATGCGATCAGTGTGAAAGAAGTTTCCAATTGAGTAAATGCCTTAAGACTCACATGAGAATTCACACTGGAGAGAAGCCTTACACATGCTATCAGTGCGGAAAGAGTTTCACATATAAAGCTACCCTTGATTCCCACATGAGAATTCACACTGGAGAGAGCCCTCACACATGCAAACTGTGTGAAAAGAGCTTTTCACACAAAGGTAATCTAAAGGCTCACTTGAGAATTCACGCTGGAGAGAAGCCGTTCATATGTGTTCAGTGTGGAAAATGTTTCACACGTAAAGAATCCCTTGATTACCACATGCGCATTCACTCAAGAGATAACTGTTTCATGTGTAATCAGTGTGGAAGGAGTTTCCCAAACAGGAACAACCTTAGGAGCCACGTAATAACTCATGTTGGAGAAAACCCTTTGATGTGTCATCACTGTGGAAAGAATTTCACACATAAAGGAAACCTCAAGACTCACATGAGAGTTCATACTGGAGAGAAGCCTTTTACTTGCCAGCAGTGTGGAAAGAGTTTCAGACATAATGTTAGCCTCCAAACTCATATGAGACTTCACACTGGAGAGAGGCCTTTTATGTGCAATCACTGTGGAAAGAGATTCAGACATCATGTGAGCCTCAAAACTCACATGAGATTTCACGCTGGAGAGAATTTCCCATATCAAAGAGACCTGAAACGTAATTTGCAAACTCATTCTGTAAAGAAATTACAGTGTTCTGAGTGTGACAAAAGGTTTAGAATAAGGAGCCATTTAAAAAATCACTTGTGCGTTCACTCTGGAGGAAGGCCATTTAATTGTGAACAGTGTAATAAAAAATTCATTTTGGCATCACACTTACAAATACACTTGAAAACGCATGCGGATTTGAGACCCCATTTGTGTTCCATGTGTGGAAAGAGTTTTAAATGGCTCAGCAATTTAAAATGGCACCAGAAAACACGTATTTGTGTAAAATTAAGGCTACTTTAACACTAGAGCTGAATGTGGGTCAAATCAGATTTTTGCCTCAAATATGACTTGGTGGGACGAGCAAGACACACACAGTGGGTGTGGCACTAAAAATAATAAAAGTGAAAACTGACCAAATAAACAAGAAATCTGGTGCCCTCACTGTGCTGGGGAATTGTAAAGGAGGGTCAGTGTTCAGTCAGGATTGGTCCAGGTAAGAGGACGGGGTCCGATGGCCACACGTGCTACCCTCTCTCTGGTCCAGGGTGTGTGAAGGGCGGCGACTTCTTTCAAGCAGCTCTTCCTGGTGGCCACGGCACGTGAGGGGGAATGGTGGCCCGGCATCCTAGCCTGTCAGCGGCAACACTCATGCTTCCAATCCAGACGCACTCGCGACATTCTCTTTCCCTGGTAGTGCGGACGATTCCTGTGCCTCTGAGTGCTCAAGTCGCCGGATGGGAAGCACACATTTTTCCGCCGACAGACTAGGATGCCAGACAGCCATTCCCCCTCACAGGCTGCAGCCCAAGGGATAAATAAATGCCTCTCTGAGATCTGTGCCACACTGTGTCTATCTTGCTCATGCCCACACAGACCTTAATGTGGCTCGTATTAGATACTTGTCTGAAAAGGTGACACTTCTACAACACTTTTTTCCATGTCTTTTATTTGCATCCTTCACTTTTTACTTTGACTTGAAGCTGTTTATTTTCTTTTGTCATGTACATATGAACTCATATGGCCACACCTGATAATTTCCTTTGCTATAGTTTTAAATACTAAGTAGTTATGGTAGATGCCCTCTAATTGTGATTTGAGGCATCCCTTAAATATTTGATTCAGTTACAAATATTCTAGATTAAAAAAAAACTTCTGTCTTGTGGTGAAATTCCACTGTGTAAATTAAATATTATTAATAAAATTACAAACTGAATGAGACATTGAACATTGCACTGCATTATTCAATTCATCTTCAATTAGAGAAAATGTCTACTTTTGGGTTTCATTTGATGACAGCTGGTTCCAGCTGTGGGGGTGTAGCAGCTCCAGCTCCTAGGTGTTTGTGGCTTATTAAATTACTCCATTTGATTTATTTTACACAGTCAAGTCACCTTTTTATATATAGCTTTTTATACAATACAAATTGTTTTGCAGCTTTACAGGGATAAACAGGAAAATAATGATTCAATGATGCAAACAGAGTTTGATTCTGATGTAAAGCAGCTCTAAAAAGACAATAGTGTCATTGACCAGCTGAGGTCAGTTCAGTTTTGATTCATTGAACGGTGCACACTGTTTCAAAACACCTTTACAGAAAAATAATGGGTAAAACTTTATTTCGTTAGTCCACTTTAGACATTCTACAAACTATAAGTAACTTTGCAACTACATGTCAACTAACTCACATTAGAGTATTAGTAGACTGTATGCTTAACCCTCTGGGGTCGGCCGTCGCGCCGGCGCGACGAGCTCGATTTTTTCCTTATCAGTGCAAAAGAGAATCAAATTACTCTGTTGATTTTGATCTTACATATAAGTGTTGTACATCATTAGATCCTGTTAAGTGTCTATTTTTTTGTGTGTCACAATAAAAACAAAGTGTTGTGCTTTTCGTCAAATAAAGAAAAATAAACATGATGCGCATTTTGCCTTCTCTTTGTCAGTGAAGTCCATTCTGAAACGCATCTGAAAAATTAACTGTAACTCAGTCAATACTTGTCACAGAGATACGAGAGATTTCTCTTTATGAAGCTGAAATTCTCTTCTTTTAAATGATGTAATTTATTTAAAAATATATATTTCCAGTTTATGTAATCTGTTTGAAACCAAGGAGAGGTACAGTTTTTTCGTTCTCCCTTCATTATCTTTAATAAGCTGAGGCCGCCACGCCCCCAGAGCTTTTCACATGGTAAGTAGTAGGGGTGAGCCCGAATAGTCGAAGATTCGATGCTTCGATTGGAGGAGCCTGATTTGACTACCAATCTCACGGTCGAATCTTCGCAGATGTGTTATAAACGAGGATTATGTCATTTTGGCTATATGAGTGTGCTCAATGTCTGATTTCACATAGACCTACTGGTTTTCTGTCAATACATTCATATACAGCCTATTATGATAATGCTGTCAATAAAAATGTGCAAAGAAAGAAGCTTTTAATAAATATTTTTTAACGTGCGTGCAGCGTGAATAAATCCAAACACCCCGTGACAGATTTAAGTTTCACTTTCGATCCGTGACCGACAGAGGAGCGTCTTGTCGGCAGGGATTTAAATCTTTAAAAATGTCTGGGATAAGAAAATCTAAAGATGCACACCATCAGAAAGGATATTCTCCAAGGCTGGATTTAGCATCAGGAAAACCATGATCGCACTTCTGCCGGCCAACGTTAACAGGTTGGTTTTCCTCGGGACATTCTAAAACGCTTAACGTGAAAAAAGCTTTTAAAACGCTTAAATGGCACTTTTACGTGCTTAATGTATGTAGGCCTACACAGGCTACACACCTTAAGAAACCATTCTATGTGCAGATAAGCAGATGAACCCAGAATATGAACGCAACGTAAGAAACCATTCTATGAGCAGATAAGCAGATGAACCCAGAATATGAACGCAACGCGTTTCTCCTATAGAAAGTCACGTAAAGCTTTTTCTTTAACTGTTTTCTATGGGGAAAAAATGCTTAACGTAGCCTATAATAAAACGCGTTGCGTTCATATTCTGGGCTCATCTGCTTTTCTGTAGGCTATATAGTATGCTTTATTAATAAGGTGTGTACAGAATTTGATTTTAGAGAACAGTTTTAGGACAAAGCCGTTAAGCGTTTTTCACGTTAAGCGTTTTAGAATGTATTTTATCCGCGCACACAATTTGAAAAGACTCAAACGGACACAGGCCGAGTGAAAGACTGGATTTTTTTTTTCGATCAGGTATGGGTACAAGTGATTTCAAAACATTTTAGCCAGTTCTAATTTGATTTTTGGATACTGTGAACACGTTTAGCTAAAAAGACTGCCGCTCCAGTTTAGCGTTTATTGTTGTTTCTGCAGTTAAAAAGACAAAGTTGAAAATCCTGGCCATACTTTCGTTATTTTAATAATTTCTTTATTTTTATTTTATTAATTGATCACTCAGGGTGATCTAATTTAACTATTTGTGACTTGTGTTTTGAATATTTGTTCCCCTGCACTTTAGGCATTTTGCACACATTTGTTCTGCTTCTTGTGACTTGATTCTGACTTATTTCATTTTGTATTTTTATTTATTATAAATGTATATTGTGTTCTTAATTGTTGATTATTTTTCAGTGCATCGATGTTGCACTGTAGGCCTACTTATTGAGCATGCTCGTACAGGCAATTCTACGGTGGCCGAGACAGCTCAACGCGCTGCAACTGAAGCAAACACATGCAAATAGAGAAAAACGCGTGCAAATAGAAAAAAACGCATGCAAATAGAAAAAAACACATGCAAACAGAAAAAAGCACCTGCAAATTAAAAAAAAACATCTTCATCAGTTTCACAACACACGTGTGCTCCAAATAAGGAAACGCGCTGCAAAAGTTCACAACACAACCAAATACAGAAAACGCGCTGCAAATAACACAGACCACAACGGAAATGTTTCCAGGGGAAACAAATAAGTGACGAACCCGGCTGGGACGTGCTTATTGCTCGTGAGCTTCCCTATGCCATACTCCCTTCGAAGGGCAGATTGCAGAGCCCTTTTGGAGTGAGCAAGGCTCTAGTGTGCTGTTAGGCAGCCGTGTGGAGCGCACTTGATGAAGGGAGCAACTAAAGACAACGTAATTTCCTAATTATTTTCACCTGGGATGTTCCCATGACAACGCAGCACGGTGTCCATCAGCTGGTCTTACGACAGAAATATAATGCTGTTAACATAACGGATGCAAATACATTTTTATTTTTAGTTTACAAAAAAAGCTTTTAAAATATGCGTTATATATCTGTGTCTCAACTTTAAAATTTTGGACCCTACATTACCTAACATTTCTTACGAAACTTTTCTTTATGTAAATGTAATAACATGAAACAATTTGTACAGTGTAACTGATCTAAAGATAAATATCTTTCCTTCATGTTTTTCTTCTTTATCTTTTTTATTTATTTATTTTAGTTTCCAGCTCATTGTTCTTTTCTCATTTGTATTCTGATGACATTGAACATATTGTTAATACATTTTGTACATTGTATACAAGTTGTATGTCAGAAAAAATGTCATCTCTGTATGTTTTGCACAAATAAATAAAGTATATTTTTTTAGCTGTAAGCACCAGCACACATAGATTTATGGATTTCTATGCCAGCCAACCCAGCCGGGTTCGTCACTTATTTGGTTCCCCTGGAAACATTTCCGTTGTGCTCTGTGTTATTTGCAGCGCGTTTATGTATTTGGTGGTGTTGTGAGTATTTGGAGCACACGTGTGTTGTGAAACTGATGAAGATGTTTTCTTAATTTGCGTGTGTTTTTTTTATTTGCACGCGTTTTTTTCTATTTGCACGCGTTGTTTTCTATTTGCATGTGTTTTCTTCTATTTGCATGCGTTTTCTTCAGTTGCAGCGCGTTGAGCTCTCTCGGCCACCGTACAATTCAGCCAATTTAATTTGATTTGCATGTGAAATGGAAATCCTATCTGCAGTGTGGCCTTTCTGCAGTTATTTATGTTATTTCTTAGTTTTATTGATTCAAAATGTTTTTATACATTTTCTTCTATATCTTTGTGTGATGTTCTGAACATTGCGGCTTTAAAATGTTAAAGCCCCGCCCCCTCCCCAACACCACACACATGATTCGACTATTAGTCGACTATAGGCAGGACTGGACGAATCTGATTCGACTATGAAAATCCTTAGTTGGGGACACCCCTAGTAAATAGGTGATCTAACGTTATGCATCGCACACGCGGCACGCCCCCGATCAATGCCATAACAACACGAAGTTTCTTCATCAGATTCACTGATAGTTCATCGCGTTTTGAGGATGGCACGCTACTCCTTCAGATG